ACACTAAGCTACACAGTTGGGAAATATCATAATTTAATCCCTAATGCCTCGGTGTGTTCTACATCTATCTCCTCAACAATATGCCTTAAACTAGGCCTAAGAATGCCTAGAATGGGATGAGGATGCAAAGATGTGATCAGAAAATAGTTTCGGAATTTTCAGAAAAACAGAGCTCGAGCGGACATGCAGACAAAGGTACCCGCTCGAGCGTAGAATTACCCGCTCGAGCGTTCTGCAAAAACAGTCAAAAGTGCTGGATGGATGGAATCTCCGCTCGACGGACGCTCGACGCCTGCTCGAGCTTGAGACACATGATTCCGCTATAGCTCCTAATACTCTGCTCGAGCGGACTGTAAAACAGTGCAGAGATACTGGACGCTCGGATTCCACGCTCGAGCGGAAGTGCAGAATCTGGAAATTCTAGATTGCACCTCCAAGCTCAAAACCAAGTTCAAATGCATCAAAACCAATCCTCTTGGGCCCATTTTTCTGGAAAACCTTTATAAACACATAGAATAACATGGTTCAAAACTCAATTTGAGGAATCAAAGCCCAAGGGTGTTTAGTTCAAACTCAATTTCAAATCAATTTCAAGAACAAGATGAACATGCAAACAAGCATGAATTCAAACCAATTTAAAGCTTCAATTTGATGCTCTAAAGAGCCAGCTATTTCCAAAACATGATGAAATCATGGCCTACACTCAAAACATGGACATGCATGCAACAATTTGCCATGAACTCAACTCAAAATCCAACAATTCAAACATGCATGCATGAATTATGCTCTATGTCAACATGTATGAACCAAAACATGGCTTAGCTCTACAATTTATCATGGACCATGCAAGACTTAGCTCAAACACAAGAATGAGAAGATGAAATCCTTACCTAGGTTCCTTGAATGCAAGTCTAGAGGTTCAATTTAGCAATCTACACTTCAATTACCAAGCAATTCTTCGAGTTTCCAAGCAATTCAAGGTGAAAAACCAATTTCTCTCCCTCTCCACTCTCTAGGTCGACAAGGCTCAAGAAAAGGGTTGAGGGAATTATGTTATGATCAAGTGTAAGGCTCAATGTGTGAGATAGTGGCCCACTTAGTGGCGAGTTTGGTAAATAAGTCAAAATTTGCAATTGATCAATGCTTAATCTAATTTAATCATTCCTAATCAGTTTTCAGATAATTACACCATAAAATCACACAAATTATGATGATCATAAAACTTCAATCAATTCCGGATTCAGCCGCTGATAAGGCCTTCAATTAGCAGTTTAAACATAAAACACAAACAGAGCAAATAATTAATCAAACAGATAGAATACAATTTAATATACACACTCAGTCAATTCAGTTCCAATTTTCAGTCAGTCAGTTCAGTACTTTAACCGGTCCAATTATCAGTCATAATCAGTTCAGTTTAACGGTAATCAATGTTTATCGGTAATCAGTCAGTCATTAATCGGTAAACAGTATGAGGGTTGTTACAATTAAAGGCCAGGTCGGCAAGGCTCAAGAAAAGGGTTGAGGGAATTATGTTATGATCAAGTGTAAGGCTCAATGTGTGAGATAGTGGCCCACTTAGTGGCAAGTTTGGTAAATAAGTCAAAGTTTGCAATTGATCAATGCTTAATCTAATTTAATCATACCTAATCAGTTTTCAGATAATTACATCATAAAATCACACAAATTATGATGATCATAAAACTTCAATCAATTCCGGATTCGGCCGCCGATAAGGCCTTCAATTAGCAGTTTAAACATAAAACACAAACAGAGCAAATAATTAATCAAACAGATAGAATACAATTTAATATACACACTCAGTCAATTCAGTTCCAGTTTTCAATCAGTCAGTTCAGTACTTTAATCAGCTCAGTTTAACGGCAATCAATGTTTATCGGTAATCTATCAGTCAGTCATTAATCAGTAAACAGTATGAGGGTTGTTACAAATTGAGAGGGTAATTTATTGGGCCAAGCTAGGTCCAATGGTTTTAGGCTTTGAGCCGAGCTAGGAAGGGTCTCCTTAGCTCCTTAGGGTACCCTTCCGGTTGTGTTAAGAGCTTCACCAGCTCGGTCCATGAAGCGTGCAGACATTAAGGGTTTAAAACAGGTGAAATAGAGGTAATCAAGAATTAGATCGGGGTATAGTTAGTATAGTATGCCGAACTACAACATTTAGCTCGGTCGAGTGCCATCTTGGTTCTGAACAGTGTGAGGCAGGGTCGTGTAACTCGGTTACGCGTACTACCGAGCCGAGACAGGAGGTTTGAGCTATCTCACTTGGCTGGTTGTGAGTAGGGTGTTATCAGGATATGCATCATCCTTGGGAGTGTGATTCCTAGGAGGACTCTTATAAGGAGAGTTGGAGTCCTACTAGGATTTTGCTAGGTGGAATTTACAAAAGCTCATGGCAGGACCTATGTACAGATGTCACAATTTCTACTCTCAAATACACAGAGCTTTTGTTTTTATTGTCTATTGGTTGACTTAGGCATCGGAGAGGTATCCGGTACACACCCGCCGGCTAGCTCAAGTTTGTGTTTTCAGGTAGTAAAGCGACGACGTTTGGAGGAGTGCAAACTTGATCAACAAGATTATATGAGAAGATTATTTCGTGCTTGGTTGTTAGTTTACTCTAAAACTTGATCAATTCCATCCCAAAATGTTATCTTGTAATAACCAATAATAGCTCATCAATGGTCATCACTGTCTACAAAACACAATCAACAGTCTCGTCAATAATTGCCACCCTCTGCAACAAAGCTCTTTCATGTCTGAAAATGGTAAAGACCCTTAAAATTCAATTTGTCATTCATCTCAACAAGCAATACTGTCCTCTATTTAGATAGCAGTGCTAGAGACCCCCACATGAGGTGACCCCCACCACCCCCCACATACACGTGGGGGTCAGAGTGGAGAACAAAAAAAAATTTTTTTTTTTGAGCCAATCAAAAATCAGTGGGGGTGGTGGGGGTCACCCCACTGGGGTCTAAGTCATTTTTGATATTTAGATCTCAAGAAATTCTTCCTCTCTTCTCTTGAAAATCCAACCACTCTCTTCTCTGCAAAACCCACCCTAAAGATTGTCAACTGCAACAATTGATGACTGTAGTGGCAGTGGGTCAAGAGAGTGGAATAGTCTATGTATGTTCAAGGACAATTGTATTTTGAAAATCTGGGTTAAGCTATGTGTGACTCACAAGAATAGCTTATGAACTCTGTTTTGGAGATCGCTAATGGTATCTTTTTCATTCTTTTCATCAGGGGCAAGAGTTACAATCTCTTGGTATTACCAGTAGTTATCAAGAGGTTTCTTCTTTATCAAGTGGGTTCTTTCATATTCAACTGAAAATCAAAGAAATCCTAAAAATGTGTTTTGTTCCCAACTCTCCATAAACATGTACATCTTAGATATATATCTTGTAGTAATTATTATTTTTATTTGTATATGTAATTATATATTCACATGGCATGTACACTACAAGAAAAAACACTTTTGGCGACTAAATTTTTAGTCGCCAAAAGTCCTCTTTTAGTCGCCAAATGTAGAATTTTCACTTTTCCCGACTAAATATTTTAGTCGCCGTTGTGGTCGCCAATACATGGTCGGCAATACCTTTGGCGACTAAAGATTAGTTAGTCGGCAATATACAGGTCTTCAGCGACTAAAGTTTTAGTCGCCAATAGTCGATTCCATTTGTGAAATTATACATTTAGCGACTAAAGTTTTAGTCGCCAATAGTGTTTTTTTTTTATATTATTTATACAATTGGCGACTAAAGTTTTCGTCGGCAAAAGCATTTTTCAAAAAAAAAAAAAAAATACCCACTGTGCCTCAACAGCTCCCAGGCTTCGAACCTGCAACCTCCAAGCTCCAAACCTTAACGACACACGCCACCCCACTATGCCACTCAACCATCACATGAATATAATTGCAACTTATATTATTTATATATTACTTTCACCAATATTAATACAACAAAATATATATAAATATAATTATATATATTCAAATATAATTTATGTAAAAAATAAATTATTTATTAAAAAAAAATTTATCTCACTTTTGGCGACTAAATCCATTATTTAGTCGCCAATTCTACAATTTTAGGCTACTAATTAATTTTGCAGTCGCTAAAAAAAAATGTTGCGCCTAAAAACACACCTTTTGGCGACTAAACCTGTTTTTAGTCGCCAAAAACGTCCCCTTTTGGCTACTAAACTGAATTTTAGTCGTGTTGTGTTCCTAAGTTGAGATTATTGAAGAATCTAAGCCTCTCATCATATTCTAGAGAATTCGAAGTTGTTCTTCAAGGATCTTCGAAGATCTTCGAATTTTCCAATTCTTTTTCTTGAACCCTCTCCTACACTTCTTTATCAAGTGGGTTCTTTCATATTCAACTGAAAATCAAAGAAATCCTAAAAATGTGTTTTGTTCCCAACTCTCCATAAACATGTACATCTTAGATATATATCTTGTAGTAATTATTATTTTTATTTGTATATGTAATTATATATTCACATGGCATGTATATATATAATTTTATTTGTGAAAAAAGTTGTTTATATTTTTTTGTCTGTTTTGATTTTACAAAACTCTTGGCTTATTCTATTAAGCATTTTTGTATTTGAATAAAAGATTGAGAGATATTTTTCGCAATAACAAGTAAGGAAACAACTAGGGATAGGAAAATGAGTATAATTTTATCAAAGTAACGAGGTCAATATCAAGAGAAGTCATTGTAATTTAACTTTTTTTTAAAAAAAAAAAAATTATTTACTTACAATTTCAAATACATTTAGGACGTAGTTATAACGACATTCATAATGTCATTATTCGATTTCAATTAACTTACTAATTAAACTAATGACCCTTAACTAATATCTTTTTGAAATTTACTTAACAATCTAAATTTCATAATATTGTTGATAACCATCATAGCATACGGTTAGTTCGATCAATTTGACCACCAAACCGCTAATATGTAGACATAAGCATAATAATAATATGGCTGATTAGTGCAGTGATAAAATCATCTAAAATTTAAATCAAGTCATGTTTGCTCATCAAGTCTCAAGAATCCCTTCCACCATCCCCACTCTCCTTGACTTAAAAATAAAAATGTAAAAAATAAAAATAAAAATTACAAGCATATAGGTTGATTAAATGGGGGTTTAGCTTTCAGGAAACATAATACAAGGAATTTGGAAGCTTGAAAGTTCTTTTAGCAGCAGGGAGTCCCTCAAAACTAGTCCATTGATCACCAATGATGCCCCATATGTGGTAACCTTCGTCAACCAACCGTTTCCTCGCCTCAGCTTTGTAATTGTGCACTTCTCTATATTCATCTTCCATACCCCTGTATTCATAGTTCCCATCATGTACTCTTAATGAAATATGATCATTTTTAAGATTCCAATCATAATATAACATCTAAATTAAAATGTTTTTGAATGACCATGAGATCTTCTATTTTCAAAAGATACCTAGCTTGATCTAATTTTTAATTAAAATAAAAATCAAATCATGTAATTATGAGTGATTAGAAAAGGGCATTTGCTACAAAGGATTATTCATGCCCATTCTCTCATGTCCCTATGTTCTGAATAATATTTTTATCACATGTGAGTCAATCTAATTTTGAAACTTTTTTGGAATAAAAAATCTCAACCCTCTAATCAAGTAAGTTGTTTAAATTAGTTAACGTTTACAACTCTCGTATGAAAAGTCATGCGCTAATAATTAAAATTTTATTCCCTGCTCTCCATGGATGTCATTCCAATGCTTAGGCCTAATAGTTATCTAAAAATAAATGAATGTAGAAATTAATTGATAAAAAACCAAAAAAAAATCTCGGTGTCTTAATGGCTATATAGAAATAGAGGGTTACAAGTCTTAACAAGTAAGAAGATGCATATAAGAGCATATTCAATCTTTTCATTAAATGCTTATCAAATTAAGGGAGAAGTACTTCTTTATCGAATTGATAATTGAACAAATTCTTCTTCAAGTTTTAAATTTGATGAAAATTTAAATAGGTAAAACATTTGAGATGATTTTTTACTTTTTTTCAACAAATTTGATAAAAAGAAAAATTTGGAATAAGATGAGAATTTCTAAAAAGATTTTGATGAAAGGATTTGAATAGTTTATATCAAACCAATTTTTCTACTTAAATTTAAAATCAAATTAAATATATAAAAAAAAGAGTAATAAAGGGTAGAAAATGGATTTTAAGTACCTTAATATGAGAGAAGTCCATCCATGATATCCAACCTTGATGAGGTTATCAACAGTGGCATCTCTGAGGGATTCCCTTCTAGAGGATATCAAAAAGATCTTAATCCCCTTCCCTCTTATCTCCTCGAACAGTCTCTGTGTGTGCTCAAGAGCCGGTGCCTTTCTCTCTCTCATCCATTTTTCCAAACAGCTCACATTCAGCTTCTCTCCCCTAATGAAAATGTAAATAGTAATTCTTAATCACAAATCAAAAATTTTAATTACCAAAGAAAAAAGGTTATAACATCAAGCTAGGATGAATTACTGTTCCGATTAGACATTTGACTTAATGATTGTGTAAACATTCTTTTTGGTGTGAGGTCTCGAATTTAACTCATGTGAAGAGGAGTTTGATACCCTATTTGTAATTATTCTCCTATGCAATGATTAAAAAAAAAATTACTACTCCACCTTAATGATCTTCCCCACAATGATTTTAGACAATTTAATTAATTTAATTTAAGATTAGTTGGATTGAGAAGTGACGTTTTAAATAATTTTTTAGTTAAAATATAGGTGAAGGTATAAAAAATGTGTAAGAATGACTTTTTAATTTTTTTGTGTAAAAAGTAGGGAGAATAAAAAAAAAAAAATTGATTTTTTTAATATAAATATTTGATTTTTAACTAAAACTTATTAGCTTCCCAAACATTCCCTTAATAGGGCATGATTCCCGGAGCAAATGAAATATTTTGATGCTGCCTAGACATTTTAAAGTGAAAAGCATCTCTCGAGTCTCTCAAGTGCACGCTCTAGGCAATTATGTGACTCTAAAATAATAGTGAAAAGGAACACGCAAGCTATGTTTACTTTTTCTCTCTTTTTACTTTAATCATAAATAACTCTCTAAACATGATTAAAGTGAATTTTTTTTAAAAAAAGTGTAAAGAAAATAAGAAATAAATAAATAAAGAAAAGAGATGAACATCATTAATATTCAACAAGTGTGAATGTATCATATAATATGATAAATAAAATATATAGTATAAAATCTAATATTATTGTTGTAAAAATTATTGTTACTAGACCAGTTAGTCCAATCATGGGAGAGAAAATTCATCCTTAAGAATTTATAAGTACATATATATGACATGATATATAGTGATTGAGAGCTTATTTTGATGACTCCTAGAGATGGGAATTATTCTATTTTTAATTTAATTGTGGATACGATTAGGCTGGATAACTTCACTTGAGATAAGTTAACTCAAGCAGAATAGTTTAGTCATTTGGTGTCAAAGACCAAGTTGTTCCATCTCCTCTCAAAATTAATTATTTTAGTATATGTGAGATAAAATAACTTCTCAAATAAGTTATTACGAGCCACAAAAATTGAACTAGGCATGGGATAATTTTATTCCGGAAAAAATTAATTCTAATCTCTTTTTCAAAAAAATCAAACATGGACATTATTCCATTTCTATTATGGCTTGTCCAAATGAAACATCAATATATGGTGAAGGGTCACAGGTTTTGTATTCTGTATTCTAAAATATTTACAATCATTAAATCATGTCACGAGATTCTTGTACTAATAGAAATCCTCATCTCATATAATCTAACAATGATAAATGTTTTGAATCAGAGAAAAAACTCAAAAACTTCAGAGTAGATGGGAGACTTACCCAAAGTGGTGTTTCTTGAAGTAAGGTAGAGTAGATAAGAGGGTGTCATCAATGTCAAAGATCCATGCATCTTTACCAACACCTTTGAAAGAGCAGCAACTACTGAGATAGAGTGAAGACTCTTCGATGGCCCTCTCGGAGTCGGCCTTGTACTGAGAAGAGGTCATGTATTTGCCTATGAAGTCAATGCATTCTTCAGGAACTACTTCAAATCCCCTTATGTTGTTCATCTCCACATTCATCCTCCAACTCTCACAGTAATTCTTCAGGCTGCCGCTGTGACTGCCACTGCCACCACCACCACTCACATGCACATTTGCATTCACATTGAATGGCCTGTTTTTGTGAAGATGATTCAAAATGTTCCAATCTCCTCCACCTGCAGCCACCAAGCTAATGAAGAGGCCTCCACTGATGATGGCTAGAAACAAACACACTTCTCTTCCCATTTGTACTATTTTCATTTCACCCCTATAGAGAGAGGGAGGGGGTAGAGCAATTTTTATAGCATTGTTTTGGTGGAGGATGGGATGGCATGGCATGGGATTGAGGTCTGATTTTAGGTCACATGGTGGGGTAGGTTGTATTATCAATGAGTGGGTAGGTTGTATTATCAATGACCTCTTCTGACATTCACATGGTTTAGGTGTAACTAGCTAGATAGGAACTTAATTTACTAGCCTAAATCACGGATTTAATTGAACATGAACAAAGAACCCATTTTACCATGGGGCCTACAATGATTTCAATAATACTATAATGATCAAATTGATCTATTATCATTTTGTTTATCATCTTACATGTTAAAGTTAATTTAATTGAATAAGTTGATGCACTCATGTTAGTTACCAATCTAGAGTAAAATCTTAATACATATGTTTCATTTAGCATTATAAAATATTTTTATATATTTATTTTCATGCACTTCTCTCTTACATTAGCATGAAAAAAGGCTAAATGAGAAAGAAAAATATGGACATCAACATTTTGGGTGTTTCACATTAAAAGCTATAAATGAGCTAACTCAAGTCAAGTAATAAATTATCTATCAAGTTTCTAAATGTATTTATTTTGACTTGCTTACTTGTTCAACCGATTTCAAACAAATTTTAATCAAACTAATAATGAACTAAGTTTGAGTAATTTAATTTTGTATATGTAAATTTATTGAGTTGAATAATAAGTTGTTCAAGTTTGACTTTGTTTATATTACAAATAGATCTCGAACAATTTTTTAAGAAAATGAACACAAGTTGTCATGACCCGAACCGCCCCTATAGATTAAGGTTATAACCGGCTAGTAATCATGAGATTACCTACGACCTCAAATCAAATTAGAATATACTCCATCAGAGTTAAGGGGCCAAGCGGAAGCAGACTTAAAAATTTTGTCCAATGAGCTATGCTTACATGATATATCAAAACATTTCACATGTACTTAATAATAACTCACACCACATATCAGTAGTCAACATCTTGTATACCTAGGATCATTCAAACACATGGTCAGCTAAACCAAAAGCTTATACACATAAACGGTCTATCACGGCCAATAGAAATAGTAGAAGAAATACAAAAGATTATAAACAAGTCTCTTGCGTGAGGCACCTTGTAGACGTCCTCGAACGCCCCGGGAGGGATGAGGTCCCGTTCCGTTCGTATTGGGCTCACTACAGTTCGGACTCTCAAATTGTCACGGTTCTCAATCTGAATCAAAGAGTCTAAATCTGGCAAATCGTTTTGAGAAAACAGATTTTTTAGAAAGAAGTGCCAAACATGGACTGCTTTGCCAGATACAGAGTTGCCACCTAAATATTTTATTTTGGGAGAAATTTAGGAAACCTTGACTCGTTGCCTAAGGCCACGTGTCCGTCATCACCAAAGTTGCCCCGGCTCGGGAACTTGGGTACGATTGGGGAAGGTCACTTCGTGAGCACCCCTGCTCGCCCGATCAAAGATCGGCCTCTACTAACCATGATATCTATTTTTGAAAACATTATGTGTTCTTATTCCGGTTATTAGCCTAGAATTACTATGTGATGCGCACAGCATACAAGTATAGACTGGGTCGCCTGAATTGGAACAAAACATTTCATGTTTGTTTGTTTGAAAATGGTTTGATGGTGTTACCCGCAAGTAGGCTAAGACGTGGATTTGCCACCCTCGGGTGGACTTAAGAAGACATGATTTTGCCACTATCTAGTGGGCTTAAAACTCATAGTCAATGATTTGTTCCAATCCAAATAACCCAACCTTCACCCACAAGCATTCAGGCAGTTATATCATATAAGCATATAGCCTCATGGTAAGCATGCTATCATGGCAGTCACTCACACACATGCAAGGATGCTAAAGCATAAAAACTTACCGAGTACTCCAAGCCAAAAACAGAAGCTAATTAGAAATCCATGCATGATCCTAATTATACATAAATGCCTAATGCAACGCATGCAAAAATGCAACTATAGCAGGCTCGGCTATTCTAAAGATGGCATATGGAATGCTACAGCTAACATGTATTAAACTTGGAATTGAAAATACAATGCAGTTAGTACGATGCGCCGAGCCCGGTGCATGCAAAACAGATGAATGAATGCAAACATGCTATTATACTGTATGCTAATTGAAACATGACCTAATCTAACCATCATAAGCGGGTAAATAAAAGGGAGAAAGACGTGGGGTTGGAAGACATACATCACACACACGCACACTTATTATAGTTGTGCCCTCGCTCAGAGGGTCCGAATAAATAATATATAGTCCCGAATAAATAGTACAGTCCGAATAGTTACAAAACCCTAATTAATTAACAAATTAATCTAGGAAAGCAATAAATCGGCACGGAAATCCGTGGACCGCCTTAGCTCTGTTCCGAATGATGAATGATGCATGCTCGGGTTGCCTTTGTCAGAAAATCCCTTGTGATGCCCCGGCTTGCCTTTGTTTGCAATTGTTCTTGGAATGCGTGCCAAGCTCCGAAAGGCTGCTGATTTCTGATTTGCTGCAACAGAGAGCAATAAAGGGACATGGCAAAGTATTTTCACATATGTATGCATGACTACTCTTTAGGGAGTATAGTTCTTGATCCTCGTGCCACCAATCACGCATCTCAATGCATGATGGCCGAGGAATCAAATTGCACGACTCAATATGAAATGAATGCACATATGGACACAACAAGGCCTAGACTCCATCATGGATAATCCGGAGTGTCGGCGACTGGGAATTGAGACACGCTTCGTCACTCGGAGTACGAAACGTCCCTCGTTTCCCGTACTTGGGCTAACTCCTATCCCAAGTACAATGCAATATGCATGACATGCATGAATGCAATCCTAACATGCAACCTAACATACGCAATGCTATGAAATGGCATACACAATGCATGATGTAACGAGGCATACACAATGCTCTAACATACAACCTAGCATATACAATGCTATGAAATGAAATGGCATACACAATGCACGATGGACTTACACCAACATGAGTGGACCTCAGCCACACTCACATCAGTAGCCATGAGGTGAAAATGAGACTCTCGAAATGCGTGCACGCATGCACGCAAACCGAGGACCGAACCTAAGGCATGGCATGCAACTCTAACAAGGCATGGCAAGGCATGGAACATGGTATGCAAACATGCAAATTTCAGCACTAAAATGTGATGCAAAATGGTCCCAAAACATGGAAACATGACACCCGATGCATGGAATGGTCCCGAAACATGCATTATTTGATCATGAAGCATGAAGACAGAGCCAAGGCAGTCCCAAAACATGCATATTTTCAGTTCAAAGCATGGCCAAAAGATGTTAGCAAGATGGCCTAACATAGCATGCAAGTTCGACTAGCAAACATGGTTTACATGGCAAGTGTATGAAGCATGTGGAATCTCACCAAACTAGAAAAATTAGTGAATAAATCATGTGAAAATAGGCCCAAATAACCACTGATATGCAACCATGACATGCAAAAATGATGAGTTACTTTAGAGGGCCATGCAAGATAGACATTTGGCATGGCATAAACAACTATGAAAATCAAATATGGTAGTCCCAAAACTCACCAAATTGACTCTAGAAAGTGAATTCAAAGCATGCAAGATAGGGTCTCTTTGGAAGGCCAACAAGGCCATCAAACAAGTCAAGGTGAGAGGGGGTCACCCCCCTCTGATTTGGAAGCCCAAAACAGTGTCTTAGCCACTGAAAATCCATTGGATTTCAGTGGCTAGAAGGCCAAACAAAGCATGCAATAAGGGCTAAGGTGTAAGGCTCAAAATAGGAGACAATCAAGCATACAAGGAAGCATATGACCTCAAATGAAAATGGAACCTTAAACAAACTTGAAGATGGTGTCAAAAAAATCCCTTTTCCAGTTTATGACAATTCTCAAAAACAAACACAAGTAGGGCTAATCTATCATGCAAAAATGGCCCTAAAAGAGAGAATAGATACAAGGGACAGAAACTGGCCTCAAACAGTGAAGATCCCTTGAACAAAGTTGAAGAGGGGCTCAAAATAAGGCCTTTTACAGTTTATGTCAAGCCACGAAAATGATCACAAGTAGGCCTAAAATATCATGCAAGAAAAAGGCCTAAAAGAGGGATAAAGAAGCAAGTGATAGCTGCTGGCCTCAAACAGAGGATAGCCCTTCAGCAAAGTTTAAGAGGGGCTCAAAACAAGACATTTCACAGTTTATGACCAAGTCCAAAACAGCTCACAAATAAGCCTAAAATACTATGCAAAAAAAGGCCTAAAAGAGAGTTAAAGAGGCAAGTGATAGCAGGAGACCTCAAACAGCAAGAGGTCCTTAATCAAACATGAAAAAGGGGCTCAAAATATGACTATTTACAGTTTGGTTCAGAGCCCAAAATTGCTTTCAAGCAAGGCTTAGATATAGAGGAAGAAAAGACTAGAAAATGGAGAAAGAGGACTTATCCTTGAAGACCAATGAACCAACTGCTTTTGGTTGAAGAAATGGTGCTCCTAACCTCTTGAAATAACCTCCAAGTTGCTGGAATGGAGTATGGAGGTGTGGTGCTATGAGGTGGTGTAGAAATGGTCCAAGAACAAAGGTATTTGATGGTTGAATGAAAGAGATGGAGGATGTATGTATGCAAGGCTCCAATTGGTTTTTGTCAACCTTTTAAAATGGAGCTAGGGGGTTGGCTTTATAGAGGGAGGAATGGAGGAAAAGGGGGGGAAAACCAATTCAAATTTCCCCCCCAAAGGCAGCTCCCCCGAATACAAAATCTGGGGGGAAACAAATTGCACAGCTGGAGCACACTTGGAGAGGGGGTTCAGGCCGACCAGGTGCAGAAGGTTCAGGGGGCCAGCCGGCCACCTCCCCTGGTCAGCCGACCAGGGGTCAAAAGGGTCAATCACAATTTCTGGTCGGCCTACCCAGAAAGGTGGCCTCCCAGATGAGCACAACACAACCCTGTAGAGAAAAACCAGAAACAGTGACCCAGGAGAGAGAAAAGCTAGCTTTTTAGAGGGGTTCAAAAGGGTCAGGATGAATTGCTGGTTG